TTAACTGTTATAGGGGAAATTGTGGGATTAGACACTTTCCTGTTATTTTTTTTTGCAAGGATGCCCTTTTACCTTCTCTGTGACATCGTACAGTGGCATTGACTTACATAATAAATCTCTTCTGAAAGCTTTGGTGGTGAGGAGTCAGAAACTAGGAAGGCGTGGTGGGTGTTCCGGGGGCCTATCGATATTGGGGTGGCCTAAAACATGGGCAATGAAATAAGTTGCACAGAGACTCCAACAGCTTGAATAGAATCAGAGGTAAGAGGTAGAGATACTTCCTCTAAGCAGAGAGTAGAAAAAGTCACACCAGTGTCAATTTTAAAATCCAGTTCCCGATCTACTGAAAGCTTTATGGTGGGCTCAGGGGTGCCACTGAGGATGGGCCGAGCCCATCAGTCAGTGGGGTATTGTCCCGCAGGGAGGGAAAAAGGAGCCTACGGAGAATGCCAGATTTATAGGGAGAGTTTCTCCCTTTTAAGTACAGGACAGCACTTTTTCCAATGCCCCAGGTTTTTTGCAATATCTGCAAATTTTTGAAGGCAAACTAGAAAAGCCACGGGATTCACCAAAGCCAGGAGAGGACTTTGAGTCATTCTCAGAGGCCTGCCTTTGTTTTTGTATTGATTGAAGCTGCAAGGCAAGGACTTCTTTTAATCTTTTCTCTTGTTTTCTTGGGAGCTGTTTTCAAAGAATTGTGTGACTGCTTCTATTGTAATGCTTAGACACTGACCATCCCAACCAACTACACTGTTTTGGATTTGCCTCTTTATTGTATCAGGAAGAATATTTCCAACCACAGCAGAAATTAAAAGATGTCCATGCTCTGGAGCTTCGGAATCTAATGCAGTATGCCTTCGCAAACTTGTATAAATCTCTTGACAGATGCCTTGGGGTGCCCTCCCTCTTTCTGGATATATCATTCAAACTCAGACCAATTTATGTAGGAGGCAAAGCCTCCGGTATTGCCCCATCAGACCCTGAATATCCAGCATCATCCTTTGCAGGAGGGCCAGGGAGGGGCTCCGGCCGAGTGGTCCCCTGGAGGCCATCTGGTCTAATAAGTCCTAAGTGTGGTACGATCGTGAGAGGGACATCCACTGTTAGGAGCCTGTCAAGGTCCCTATGAGTGGGGTTATGGATGGCCGCTAATCTAATTCTTCCCTAAACTTGGTAGGATCTTTTTCAAGTAGGGGCTAAAGGGCTTTATAATTTAAAAGATCTGCTGCTGTCCAGGGGACATGAATTCTTTGAGGAGAGAGTCCAGGATACATTCGCAGAGGGCATTGCACAGGGAGGGCTGGAGCTGACAACATCCAGTTACAAAGCCCTAGAAGTTGCAGACGTTGTAAGGCACAGCAAAGGGAGCCCTGCTGCGTGTTCCTGAAGCCTGTGCCACACCTACTTCCTGGCTGTCAGCTTGCAAAAATGACCCTATACCTCAGGCTTTGGGATCAGGCCAGAGGATCAGACTTTTGGTAAATCAGCCAAGGAAAGGGAGGTCAAAGCAGACAGCTGGGTGTCTGAGACATTTCTAGGGAGGTTAGAGGAGTCAAGGGATTTTGCAGAGGAGGGAGAGGCTGAGGAGATGGGGATGGATGTTGGGAGGAAGAGTTCAAACCAGGGGCCCCGAGAACCTGACACATTTGGACAAAGCAGGTGCTGCTATGGCTGCCTGAAACAAAGCCAACACTTTGTGCCCCTTGGATCCAGAGAGTGGAGAGGATGTCCTCTTTGGTCACAAAGACAAGGTCTCAGGAACGAAAACAAGACAACAGAGGACTCCCACCCAGTTTTGTGGTTCAGGACCCACAGTTGTCTAGGTAGACACTGCAAGAGATGAGGACTGTGAACTCACCAGTCCGCGGAGGCCAGTCCCAAGAGCAGGCTTGTAACACCCTGTGCCTGTGAGCTTCACCCTGTGGTTCCGTTCCTTGTGACAAGTGACACAAAAGCACAAAGACGGAGGAAGACACAGACTATGTCTGAGATAAATAGGATTGAATAGAAATGTAAAGTACTCACAAAACACCAAAAGTTGCTTTCGCCCAAAGAAGGAGTTCACAGATATTTCCTCCTGTCAACCCCAATTTAGAAAGGGACAAAGACACAGACTCTCACCACTCTGACCTCATGACTGGCCCCCACAGCACAGCTCCCGGAAGCTGAGGATAAGAAACCGTACCACGCCCAGCATTAGGTGACAGGGCCGGGATATCAGCTGCAACAGCTCCGGTGCGAGCAGTGTTCCAGCCAGAGAAGGACGGCTCGCTGTTGGCTGCCAGTTTCTGTAGGGGAGCCAGACATGTCTCTAGCCCCTGGGTGTCCTCACTGGGCAATTTCGCTGGATCTAGAAACTAAATGGACACCAGGCAAATGAACAGGACAGAAGCATACGCACCAGTTTCCCATGCACACGGGGAGCTTTTCCAGAGACTGAGGTCCAAAGAAGAGGTCAAATGAAGACGTTTTTGTATTCTTTAGACAAAGAGTTATAATCGTGAGAAGAAATCACATGCCAAAAAAAATCTGGCTGGGGCCAGTAATGTTTTAGGGGAGTCGTTAGGGGATACATGATGGGGCCGGAAAACATGTCTACCCGGGTCTATTGTAGCCTCTAGTTTCAAGTCTCGGGTGATACAGGCTATTTTCTCACCCCGGTGTGGACAGGGCACCCCTCCCAGAGAAACCTATATTGCTTGCTGCATGCAGGTTGACAGGGGTCAGCTCACCCTTTCTATAACTACGATTGCCCCAATGTGTGCAGCCCATATGATGAATAGACCAATCTTGCATATTTTGGGATGGCACATCCTTGACTTCTTCAACAAGCCATCCCAACAAAGACAACGTCAGCACTCCTAGGAAGAAGTGATTGGCCCAGCTACAGGGCCATACTTCGGAGCTCCCCACGCTCTTGTGGACACACAAACCCTCCTAGGCCTTGACTGGGGACCCAGAAAGGAAGGGAGACATGCCCGGCAGGCATCAGAGATCAGGGGGTAGGAGAGGAAGACAGTTTCTGCTAGGGACTGAATAGCCCTGTCCTCTTCAGAGAGGACCAGGGCAGCAAAGGGACCCAGTGAAGGCAGCTTCTGTGGCACCCGGGACCCGGTGGGATTGGGTTCCAGTCCCTGCACAGCTCCCTGGGACTGGACCTGGCTGCTTCATTGAAGAAAGATGCCAGGAGGGAAGACGAGGGGAGGTTCTGCTGAGAATTCAGAATGGGGGTGGAGACGTGCACTGCTTTACTTTAGACTTTATTTATGGCCATGATTGTTCCTTCATGGCATAGGTGGCACCCTTGACTCACAGTCTATGATCTTAGCCAGGGGACAAGCCTCAGTGCCAGTGCACCCCACAGTACAGCCCAGCATGGAGGGCCAGGGGTTTGCACCCTCACAGCTCTCTGACTCTCTGGAGAGCACTCCTGGGGGTGAGTCCAACCCCTTGAACCACTACCATTGGTCTATCAGGTGAATCCCAGCCTCTTATTTCATTTCAGTTTGTTTTCCTGGTGTGTGCATGGATATTTCTGTGTGTTTACAGAGAAGGAATTATTTTTGAAAAAAAAACAAAACAGAAAAAGAATTCTGGAGGCTTCAGATTGCATATGAAATGGTTGTTTTGCCTTAAACTCGGGCACCATGGAAGGCCACTCAGTGGCCTGACCCTACAGCATTGATGGCCTTGGTCCTCCAGGATGACCCTCCCTCGCCACCTTCCGGGCTTCAGCACTGGCGTGCTCCACACGAATGCCCACTTCAAGTTTTCCGTGAATCTGAGCTCACTTGCCGTTTTCACAACCAACACGGATGTGTTCGACGACGCAAGGTCCCCTCAAGACTCCATGTCCTTGGTCGTTACACTGAAGGAAGGAAACCAAGACGCCTAGGGAGGTGCCTGCCAGCTACAAAGGGACCTTGGGCCGGCAGTCTGCATCCCCTTCTGCAAGAGCTTTCTCTGTTGAGACCACACTCACAGCGACACCACAACACTGAAGACTCAGAGCCGGGTCTCAGGAAGCCTCTGGGAATTCCTGGGAATTTTCCCACAGGACACAACAAGTGCTCAGCAAAAATTAGCAGAAAATAAAAGACTGGGGTCCAAAGGTGACTGTCACTCCATGTCACTGGAGGGCAAGTGTCCGGGGTGTGGGGTTGGGGGCCGGAGGGAGGGTAACTAGGAAAGGGCAGTGACAGTAAGTTACGGTTGGTCCCTGAGGGACAGAGAGCGGGTGCTGGTGAGGGCGGGAAGGCCCAGCTGCCCCAGGGAAGGGATCTGGGCCCTGCCAGTCCTTATTGCCAACCTCTTGCTTGCCTGTCCTTCCGTCTAGTCCTGTGACACCAGCACTTGAGAAACCCCTCTTAGGGAAACATTGCCACTGGCCTGCATGGCAGGAAAGGCTTAGAATCCCCCTGCCTTCTTTGAACCTCTCCTCGGGTCATCCCTCTCACCCCCTGACTTCAGAGAAGCATGAGCCTCTTGTTGCCATAGGTCTTCACCCCAACTCCCCGACGCCACCCAGAGCTAAGGAAAGAGTATGTTCAGAGCGTACAAGGGCAAAAGCTATTACATCTCCTTTGTGTAAGTCATTTCTTTCCTTCTTCCAAGCAATCCTGGAAGTTTCCTTCAGGCAGTTTTCCAGCCACCACTCTCTCCCTTGTCTCCTTTCCTGGCCTCTGAGGTCAGACTCCCCTTTGGGATCACGTCCTCCTGCTTTGCACAGAATTACTGCATCAGGAGGGGACCTATCCTTGGCCACTGTGTTTGCCTTTTCCCTGGAGTCCTAGAGATTGTCAGAGACTGAGCTTTCTGAGGAGTGAATTGTGGGTGCTGAGCCACATGAGGAAACCCAGACTCAGAGAGGGATTTCATCTAGTATGTCTGAAATCCAAGGGTAGCTTTCCTAAGAGATTAAAATTCTACTACTAAGAATTTGGGTAGTAACCGAAAAAAATAAAATAAAATAAAATCCCTGAGAATGGCTCAACTTATCAAGTGTTTCTAGGGCAAAATAATCAAAAATCTCCGTGGGTTCAAGTCACATGAAACATCGGTTATGTGTTTTATGCAAAGACCCCTATTGAGAACACCTTCCAGCCAATGCCCACTAAGTTGCCAGCTGAGGACGATGAGCCAGGTTAGTGGTTTTTCTGCCCATCCCCACCCCATGTACATGGGTATCTTCAGAAGTAGGAGAGGTCCCGGATCACCTTCAAGCATTTCCACCATATGGGAGGGTGTAGACTGACCAGGCTAACGCACACCCTAAGGAGGTGGGCAGCAGGCAGAGAAGGTGTGGGCTAAGCCATCCTCCCCAGCTCACACTCTCCCTAATTGTCCCCCCATCATTGCCCCAAGAGGCTTAGAGCCTTGAGTGGCCACCGAAGGCAACAATACATCCAGGAGCACTATTGGATTCTTGTTCTTCAGCTGCATAACTTGGCACCTTCCTACTAACATCTCTGGTGTCCCGGATGAAATCCCAGGAGAATCATGGCCAAGAGGGGAGGATGGAGGTAGGACAGGTGACTTGATGACATGACAGCTGCCTTCCTCTACCCTATTTCTCTCCCCAGGACACATCACCGCTCACACAGCATCCAACCCCACCCAAACAAGTGCCACAGTTCTGGCTTCACAGGGCTTTGGCCGGCCTTGGGAGGCCCCGGGTAAGGATGGCGTCCACCAGGAAGGTGGGCATGTAGCTCATGGGGAGGTAGAGGAGCTTGGCGTCCCAGCCAGCTGAGTAGCGCGTGCGGGGGTGGCAGGCGGTCAGCGCATGCTCCATGCAGTCCGTCACCTTCGACACATTCTGGTTGTATGTTGACAAATGGTTTTCAGATAGTGCCTTGAAGTCTGTTCAGGATGACAAAACAGCCTTAACGGAGTGGCACAATGCTCTGCTCCCATTCACAGCTCTAAGTTAGGAGGAAAGTTCCTAAGAATTCCTGGGCCCCACAGTGATGTGCCCCAAATCTAATCGATGCAGGTTCGCCAGGGAAGTGGCCCATCGTCACCCCAGGAAAACTGGTCCACACTAAGCCACCTCTGCCTCTCTTCCTGGGAATATTGGGACTGCATAAGTTCAAGGTCTCTCCTAACCAAGTGTAAGTGTAGGAACACCAGCTCTTTCTCTCCGGCCATGGGCCCACAGGATCTTCCCTCTCTGTCTTTAGCTGCCTCTTCAAAATAATGAGGGGACAGTGGTTCCAATTGTAGTAACTCTGGATTCCTTTTCTAGGTGACCTGTTGACCACTTTGCACCTTTGGTGGGGCTGAAGGTCCCAACTTTGTGGCCAGGCTGAACTTCCCTCTCCCCACTACTCAACAGGAGGATACACCCTCATGGTGTTGGAGGCATTAATCATGGTCCAAGGTCTAGTTCTCTCACTGTCCACAGTTTACTCACAGGTTGCTAGAAACTTCTCGCCATTGATCTCCTTGATCTCAGGGCTGGTGCACTTCCATGACTCCTGGACATGCCAGAAACTCTCTGATGGTTGGTCATGTACGTCTGAAAGAAACCAGGCTCAGTTACAGCCACCTTCACCCCAAAGGCGGCAAGCTCCCTCCTGCATGACAGACAGGCAGAAGGCAAGGAGTTCAGAGGTCTTGGAGGCGAACACAAACAAGAAAAGCAAAACCCGATACAGGATGGTGGTGGGATAAGCCAGAAAGCATGGCAGGTTGGCAAGAGCAGCAGGCCGGCAGCAATGCTGACCATGGGATTGCCTGTGCGTAGAGCTGACATACTTTACACACCGAGCTCACCAGTTCCGAATCCCCTGGAGTCAGCTGCAAGGCACCACCGCTGGGCTATCTCCCCCATGCCCCTCACATCCAGGGCATCACCAGGATTTGCCCATTTCACCCTCTATGCTCTTCAGTCCCTTCTTCCCTCTCCTGCCCTGGTAACTCTCTGGCTATCTCTCAGCAGGGCTGCTGCGGCTGTCTTCTGGGGAGCATCCCTCTGCCTTCAATCTTGGCTCCCCACATGCACAGCCATTCTGCTCCCTACAGCCTGTGAGTATCTAGATGCCCATTACACCAAGCAGCTGCCCTGAGTACATCCTTGCCGTGGATCCCACTGCCAACAGCATGAAGTTCAGCAAGTGTCCCTGGCCTATAGGACTCCACGGCCCACCTCTGTCCAGCTGCCCCGCTCCCCCCACCAGGACAGACCTTGTCCTTTGGCCCAGGAAGAACCCGCAGCACAGGCGGTCGGCTGACTCTCACCCTGGAGCCGGGCTGACAACGTCCTCTAATCAGAAGCCCTGCCCACCCCTTCTTAGAGGCTGCCAGGTCCAGGTGTTTAGTTCTCAGTTCAAATGTCACATCAAGAACACTCCTCAAATCTGGGGGCTGCCATGTCCACCATAGCTAACGCGGTTACTACTACCCATATCAGGGTTGGCAACAATGTTTTTCTGTCTCCTGTCCCTCCCCCTGTCAGCTATTGGGGTTTTCAGCTCAAGGAGGAAACCCTGCCGTCCTAGGGTGCGCCGATGCTGCACTCACACTAGTGCCCGCTGCTGTGTGTTGTGCTGAGTCAGAGGCCGCACCCACCCTCAAGGGCTCCCTGCACCCGAGTATCTCAGTGGCTGCGGACACGGGCCCTGCAGCAAATTCTCCCACTTCCACTCTGCTTCAGACATGTACTGTCTGTGGGACCTCCCGAGAAGGTTCAGAAAGATGTCACCTAATTTCCCAGGCCTGGGACCCCTCCCTGTACCACAACAAACAGGAGGTCCCACGGAATGGCTGGCTAAATCCAGGAAGGGAGGAGGCCAAAAAGCCTGAGAGATGGATCTCGAAAGGGGGCCTCTAAAGCTGTGATGAAATCAAACTCTGGCAAAAAGCTCCCACAGAAGACCAGGAACAGGAGGACTCAGGCAGGGCCCGATCCCAGTGCAATACCTGAGGGAGTCCGAGAAGGCCTCCACGCCGTACTTGGAGATGCAGTAGCCGCCACCTACAAGAGACAATCTACCTGCCATGCTGGAGACATTGACCACGCGGCCCCTCGCCTTCCTCACTAAGGGCAGCAGGCTCAGAGTCACCTCGATCATCCCCAGCAGATTCACGTCCAGTATGGTTGCAAAGTCTTGTTTCGTCAACCACTCATTGGGGGCCGAGGGCACAGAGATGCCGGCGTTATTCACCAGGCCCCAGAGTCCTGGGGACAGTGGGAAGATGAGAGAGCAACACTGAGTTGTGCCCGTGCAGTGTGGACACAGTTAGGGTTCAAGTTCACATCCAAATACAGTGACAGCAGTGTGGTGGATGCTGGAAGGGGGACTAGGAGAGACAAGTAACAGCATGGTGTCTGCAGGGTTAGGGAGCCGCACATGCTGCAGCTGTTGCAGGACACGACCCATGTCTCCTCCTCCTTTTACTCTTCTTGGCCCGGCCCACGGCCTCCTAGACAGCGGGCATTGACCCCACACTCCATGGCGGCAGGAGCTGGTGTTGGAGAAACATTGTGCATCCATTAGTCTGCAAACACGGACACTGAAGTTTGGTTATTTACACATTAATGTGGTCCTTGTAGACAAGATGCACATTCACCTAAACTTTGAGATTTTCTGGAAAGCTCATACAGTGAGTGCTCAACATGTATTTATTGATGGGATATGAGAGTCAGGAATAGGCAGAGTGTGAGACAGAGAAGAGAGGAAGAAAGAAACACAAAAGAAAAAAACAGACAGGGCTAAAACGTGGGTGGAATTTGGTGGGGAGGGATAGACCTGGAAGCCTACATTTGGGAGAGTGTGGAAAACAGTCCTGTATTTGGCCTGTGCGGACCGGTCTTGGAACATCATCAATCAATATTCACCAACGTTCCTACAGGACATTCTTGGGAATTCCAACGGCACGATTTCGGGAGGAAACGAGACCAACTCACCCACCCCCCAGTACACAGACTCCACCCTCTGCTCACTAACATGCCACCTCCTCCCACCACACCCGAAGGCCACCCTTGCTCCTTCCACTCAGTCCCAAGTTGACTCCATCCCGGGGAAAAAAAATCTCTGGAAGGTGCAAACACACAATCCCAAGCAATTAACGTCCACACAGTTTCCAGTCTATACACCTCGGGGAGCAGGAGCAGAGAACACTCTGAGCCATGGCAGGTGGTGGCAGTTATTGATCAGCAAGAATTGGCCCTGGGACCCACGTCCCTCACCTGCCCTTCTGGAAATGCATACTCCTTTTCCATGATCTCCTACTTCTTTCTAAGAATACAGTCAATATACACATTTATAGAGATGCACGTAAATCAAAGTTTTCCAGGTTGACAACAATGAGAATAAAAAGTAGGAAAAAAATCTAACATCCAAACTCTGGCTATGGTTTAAATAAGTAAGGCTGCATCAAGGAAAGAATATTCTAAATCATTAAATACTATGTCTTAACAAACTTGTTCACTATGTTGAGAAAATGGTCGTCTTGGTCAGAGAGAATACAATGTGATACAAACTGTGATCAAAATAGAATCCCTATTACAGCAAAGTGTAAAACACACTTATGTGCACATGGTGATTTGAGGATGAACTTTGCTTCTATCTTTATATTTAAGTATTTTGGGCAATGATCATGTTCTACATTTATTCCTAGATCAGGGAATCCATGTCCTCTTCATGCCCCTTCATGGTCTTTCATAAAAAGACACACAAGGTGGTGCTGTGAAAAGAAGAAGGAAAGGAAAATAATCCCTTTCTAGATCTGCCTTTTTACACCAGTCCTCAACTTGTGTCCTCCGAATATGGGGATGGTCTTAACTCTCCATGGACTGCGATGGTCCAGGTAAGGACCAGCTGAAGCGCTGAGAACATGAGCTGGGCTCTGGCACAGAGCGCCCCCCATGCACACCCTGAGCCCAGGGGAGGCCTGATGGGTGAGGAATACTAGACAGCTAGGAGTGCTTGAACCTGGGAACACTCCGGGCATCTCCCCAGGGACAAGACAGGAGGTGTCCCTTTAACACAGAGGGTAGGACAAACAGACTTGAGGAATCTTGGTGGTACCTATGTCCTCCACACGCTCCTTCACCCACTGGGCAGCTGCAGAGATGCTCTCTGTCTTGGTGACATCCAGGCTCACCGTCTCCAGCCTGTCTGATGTCTGGGTCCTCAGCTGCTCAGCCCCCTTCTCCGTCAGACACGCAGCCAGCACCCTCAAGCCGCGCATGTCCAGCTGTCTGGCCAGCAGGTTCCCAAAGCCTGAGTCACAGCCCGTGATGAAGACGTACTTGTCTCGGAGGTGGCTCACCACCTGCCTCTCCCGGTGCCAGCGCACAAGGCAGTACAAGCCCACGAGGGCCACTACGTACAGCCACATGTCGTTGGGGAGAGAGACACACGCAGACTCAGGTATAGGAGACCATGACCAGTGTTTAGACAGGAGGACTAGGAAACACAGAGGGTGGCAGTTGGCAGGGAAGCCTCCAGGCACTCTGGCATGGAGCCCTCACTTTCCTCACCCCATCCCTCTGCTCTTTGCACTGCTGTTGCAATTACTGATACACACCCTTGAGAGACCTCAAGTCTTGCCCCATAAAAAAATATTATTGCTCAGCAATGCCTTCCTAGTGCACTAATGTCACTCTGCCCTGCTGTGCCCACACAGGTCCACACAAGTCCACTCATGAGCGTCCACACAGGTGTTCATACCAGTGCACACACATGCACACCATAGGACACATACCACTTGATGGAACTTGGCGGGTCAGAACCGTCTGTGCATATCTCGTACACTAACTCTCCTGGGCAGAGCAGAGAAGACCCAAGTGTACTGGGAAGCCACACCTGAATTCAAGTCACATTAGTTTGAAATCTTTCTCTGTGCCTGGGTTTTCACATCTGGTCAGCACCCAGAATCTCTCAGGAAACTAAGTCATTGCCAGTCTCTCTAGGATTGGAAGGAGAAGGCAAAAACAGAAAAAAGCAATAGGTGCCTTTCTGGTAGAGTAGTTCTGTGGAAAGAAGGAGTATGTGATGTCAATGGGCAGTCAGACCTCAGCGGCAAGAAAGGGGAGAGAAAGAGATCGGGGCTGGGAATCCACAGGAAAGAAACTGCCCGAGTTGCTGGGAGGGAGGAAAGGAACGACCCAAATAAAGCAGGTGTCACAGAGTTTACCCTTCACCTCCTGCAGACGCCTTCCCCAGCCCTGGGTGCTGGGTACGCTGCCTTCGGCCCTCCTGCTCTGGGCCCTCCCCTCCCAGGTCACACATCCCCAGTATTGTCAGGGACTTCCATTTTCTTCAACCATGAATTCCCCATGGCCACTCACAGACACATTTGCCAATCCTCACACACACTGTTCACCCTTGCTCATCCTCACAGTAGTGTGACCCTTAGGTGTGGTGGCAGGAGCTTCCCAGTCCACTCCAGAGTGAGCAGCAATCCCAGGAGATCCCAAGGGAGCAGTCAGAGGGAGGGACAGTGTCTCAACCGGACACTTGGGCAGAATGGGAAATCTTCTGGAGCCTTCCCATGGCACCCCCCTGACCCCGCCCAGTCCTTGCACTGAGACTCCTGCACAATGTAGGGGAGCCAGAGGTAATCTCTAACCCCCTCTTTGCTTTTACTGGGGTCTTTAGCTGGTGACATTTCCCAGGCTGCGGCCACTCACCTGATGGAATCAGGCCCTGAGGGGAGCCCAGGTCAGCCTCCTGGTGACCACTCCTCAGCCTCAGGGCCACTCCACCCGTTCCGCTTCTCCATCCAGGACGAGTCTCCTGTAGAAGAGCAGGTGTAGAAAAGAAAAAGCAAAGCTGGAAAAGACAGGAAGTTAGGGTTAATGGTACAACCTGTGTCCTGCCCTGGAGCCCCTACTAAGCCCGGCAAGGGGACCTAGAAAGGAAGGGCCACATGCCCTGCAGGCATTGGAGATCAGGAGGCTGGAGGGGACGACAGTTTCTGCAGGGGACTGAATAGCCCTGTCCTCATAGAGGACCATGGCAGCAAAGGGAAGGAGTTAAGGCATTTTCTGTGGCACCCGGGGACTCTGTGGGATTGGGCCCTGACCCTGCACAGCTCCATGGGACTGGATGTGGCTCCCTTGGGGAGGAAAGACACCAGAAGGGAAGACAAGGGGAAGTTCTGCTGAGGGTGTGGGGTGAGGGTGGGGACATGCACTGCTACTTTACTTATGGCCATGACTATTCTCTCATGGCAAAAGTGCCCCCTGTGAGTCAGTCCATGACGTGGGCCAGAAGTGGAGCCTCGGTGCAGCTGCACCCTACAGTGGAGCCCAGCAGGGAGGGCCAGGGATTTGCTCCCTCACAGCTGTCTGAGTCTGCAGAGCACCCCTGCGGGTGAGTCCAACTTCCTGAACAACTACTCAGTGAGCTATCAAGTGAATCCCAGCCTCTTATTTCATTTTAGTTTGTTTTCCTGGTGTGTGTGTGTATGTGTGTCTGTGTGTCTCTGAGTTTAGAAAGAAGGAATTATGGAAACCAAAAAGAAAAGTCTGGAGGCTTCAGATTGCATATGAAACTGTTACATGGCTTTCATGTGGGGCACCATGGAAGGACACTGAGTGGCCTGACCCTACAGCATTCAGGGCCTTGGTCCTCCAGGACAACCCTCCCTGGCCATCTTCACAGCTTCAGCATTGACGTGCTCCACACCAATGTACACTTCAATTTTCCGTGAATCTGAGCTCACTTGCCGTTTTCACAACTGACACGGATCTGTTCAACAACACAAGGTCTCCTGAAGGCTCCATGTCCTCAGTTGTTACACTGAGGGAAGGAAACCAAGACGCCTAGGGAGGTGTCTCCCAGATACAAAGGGACCTTCGCCCAGGAGTCTGTATCCCCTTCTACAAGAGCTTTCTCTGTTGAGACCACACTCGCAGCGACACCACAACACTGAAGACTCAAAGCCGGGTCTCAGGAAGCCCCTGGGAATTCCTGGGAATTTTTTCCCAGCACAGAACAGGCACTCAGCATAAATTAGCAGAAAATGAGAGACTGGGGTCCAAACGGACTCTCACTCCATGCCACTGGAGGGGTGATTTTGGGCTGTTTTGGGTTGGGGACATGAGGGAGGGCTCAGTGGGAAGTGCGGTGACCTTAAATCAGGGTCGGTCCTTGAGGGACACAAGCCTGGTGAGGGCGGGAAGGCTCAGCTGCCCCAGGGAAGGGATCTGGGGCCTGCCAGTCCTTATTGCCATCCTCTTTTTTGCCTGTCCTTGTGTCTATTCCTGTGACACCAGGCCCCTTGAAAAGCCCTAGAGTGGGAAGCATTGCCACTGGCCTGTGTGGTAGGAACAGTACAGAGAGCGCGGGGATAATCCACCTGCCCTCTTCAAACCCCTCCTCGGTGTTACCTCTCACCCCCTGACCTCCACGAAGTCACCTCCCTCTAGCACCACTAAGTCTGCACCACATGACCCTAAGGCCACCATTTAAACGAGTGTGCATGGGTGAACCAGCAATGTTTATTCTAAAACAAAAACAATCAACACACAACCATGGGTTCAAGACAAATGAACAACTAGTTTCTGTGTCTTCCTTCAGGATAGCAAGGAAAGATCCCACCTTCCAGTCAATACCTGCGGAGCTGGCCGCTGAGGGCTCAGGGGTCAGGTTGAGGGTTGAGGGTTTTACTCCCACCCTAAGCCCATGTGCTCAGGGGTCATCAGGGAGGGATGCTCCTGCTTCCCCCAGGCCACTTCCATCCTGCGGGAGGGCATACACTGGCCAGGCAAATGCACACCTCAGGGTGTAGGCAGAAGGCAGAGCAGGTGTGGACTGAGTCTGCTTCCACCTGCTCAACCCTCCACAATTCTGTGGATTCCTCAGGACTTAAGAGATTCAAGCCTTGAGTGGCCACTCACGCCAATAGGACACCAGTGAGTGCAGTGGGTTCCCATTCCTCAGCAGAAGACCTTGGCTCTTTCCTCCTGATATCACCAGGGTCTTGGGTAATAGCCCACAGAATGCTTTGGAGAGGATGAGGAAGAGGTGGGACAGGTGTACTGCTGGCATGAGAGCTCCCCGCCATCCTACAACTCTCCCGCTGATGTGCACCTCCCTCACACCGCAGCCAGTGCCCTTCAACCATGCACCCCGGTCTTGTCTTCACAGGGCTTTGGCCGGCCTTGCGAGGCCCCAGGTGAGGATGGCGTCCACCAGGAAGGTGGGCATGTAGCTCAAGGGGAGGTAGAGGAGCTTGGCATCCCAGCCAGCTGAGTAGCGGGTGCGGGGGTGGCAGGCGGTCAGCGCATGCTCCATGCAGTCCGTCACCAAGGACAGATCGTGTGTTAATCTTCCTTGCATTTGTTCTGTTCCCTTCATGTCTGTATACAATGAGAAAACACCCTTGAATACGTCCACCTGCAATTGCTTCTGCTTTGGGTTCAACTTCAGAGTGGAAAGTTTCTAAAATCTCATGGCTCCCCTAAGGCAATGCCCCAAATCATCCATGCTAACTCCCTGAAGAGGGCCCCACGCTTCCTCCATGAAGAATTGCTCCACACTAACACACCTCTGCCTCTTTTCCTGGGAAATCTGGACTGCACAAGGGGAGGTGTTTACCGATACTAGAAATCTGAGCACCTGGAACCAGCTCCTGTCTCACATGAAATGCCACCTGGCCCTGAGACCATGATGTCTTCGCTCTCTTGCTTTCCTTCACTCTTCAAAATAATGAGGGCTTCCTGTAGATACCGGTCCCAATTTTTAATAAGCCTGGACACTTGCTTCTTGTGACTGGTTGACCACTGAACACCCACCATTGAAATGAGGCTACAGGTCCCCACTTTCTGCAAGAGGCTGAGCTTCTCCGACCCCCTGTCAGGAGGATAGACCCTCTGAGGGACACACCAGTCGTGCACCCAGGATTTGAGATGAGGGTTTGCTACTCTCCTCACTGTCCACAGCTCACTCACAGGATGCCAGAAACTTCTTGCCATGGATTTCCTTGACCTTTGACCAGGCCTGATCCCACAAGTCCTTGACGTTTTTCAAAAGTATCTCCTAAGGGCACCCCAGTCTTGATGTAACCAGGCTCAATCAAAGACAACTTCACCCCAAAGTAGGATAGCTCCCTCCTGCAGGGAAGAGAGGAAGAGGGGTATGATTTCAGACTTTATGGGAGGCAAAACACAAACCATAAGAAAACCATATTGCCCTAACAAGCTGTGAACTAACATAAAATTTTAATGCTCACCCCCCACCCCACAGGCTGACTGAATGGACCCCCTCGTGGCCAAAGGAATTTCCTAAAATTAAATTGCCTGCCAGGAGGAAGGAGGTCAGACATGCCTCATCATGCCCCCCTCCCTTCTTGGAGACATCCTTTGTAACCCATTAACAGACCTGAGGGTATTCAAGACAAACCTACAGGTCCTCAAT